TGGTAGTCCCAGCTACTCAGGAGGCTGAGGCAAGAGAATCTCCTAAGTCCAGGAGATGGTGGTTGCGGTAAGCTGTGATGCCACAGCACTCTACCTGGGGCAATAAAGTGAGACTCTGTCTCTTAAAAAAAAAAAAGGTATATCCTGTTTTGAACCCATCATTCATCTTTTTTTCTTTTTTTAATTGCAGTTTGGCTGGGCCCAGGTTTGAACCCGCCACCCATGGCGGGGCCAGCACCCTACTCACTGAGCCACAGGCACTGCCCCCCATCATTCATCTTATGTAAACCTTTCTTGAACACATTTCTGTGTTTGGCATGGACAACCTCTGGTGGGGGCTGGGAGGCAGATGGTGGGGAAGTATAGAATCCTTTATTTGTTGCCTGACAAATTATATATATAATTGCTGTCTTTTGGTTCTCTTACTTGGGGGATTTTTGTAAGCAGTTCTGTCTCTCATATGAGTTTATCCTATGGAAGTTATAATAGTATTATCTTGGTTTTTAAAAATCTTTCCTGGAAAAAACTAATCTAAAAAATATGCTTTGTCGGTTGGTTATTTTAATTGGCCTTCTCTGATCTTTTTGTTTCTCTTAGTGCTACTGTTGGGGATCAGATTATATCCATGTTATACATTTCACTCTAATAAGACATGATGATATTTCGAAGGGTGAAATTTAACTCCTGGTACCTGTTAATCTCCTGTTTATGGATGGGTGATAGATGACTTCCTGAGCCATGCTTATTTTTTTTCTCTGTGTAGAACAGTGATCTGCCTGCTTAATTGAAAATCATTTGACTTTCATGTTCAGAAAGAATGTTAGGAAGGGTTGCCCTTCATCCACCTCAGTTCTTCATCTTGATTGTTTTCACGTGAAAGCCTTTAAGACATGTGTACTTCCTGGTAACAGTAAGCTCATCTCTCCTTAAAATTTGAATGTTGTGGCTCAGTGCCTGTGGATCAAGCAGCTAGGGCGCCAGCCACATACGCTGGAGCTGGCGGGTTCGAATCCAACCTGAGTCTGCCAAACAACAATGACGGCTGCAACCAAAAAGCTGGGCGTTTGTGGCAGGTGCCTCTAGTCCCCACTACTTGGGAGGTGGAGGCAGGAGAATTGCTTGAGCCTAGGAGCTGGAGATTGCTGTAAGCTGTGATGACACAGCACTCTACCTAGGGTGATAGCTTGAGGCTCTGTCCCAAAAAAATTTTTTTTGAATGTTGTTCTCATGGGGAATAGGGTACAGTTAGAGACAAAGAGAATTTATAATTCATTAACCCTTTACATAGAGGGAATGGGATGTTTGTATTTAAGGAGAATCTACTTCCTCATAGGGATAGTGACTCGTTGTCTGCTGATGAAGGCAGTGACTTTGAAGAGAGCTTGAGACGTAGCGTGAAGAAGAGAACGGCAAAACGACCACTCAAAACAACCCCAGTGAGTCAGTTCTGTTTTGGTTTTGAATCTGGTTTGAGAAGTGGCAAAAGAAAAACCTAGAAGAGAAGCTCAGGTGATATGGTTAATGGAAAGACAGGACTCACAGAACATGAAGGGACAGAAGTAGGAAGAGGACAAACTTTGAAAAGAAAAGAGTAAGTGAAGGGGATATGGAGATACAGGACTAAGTAAGACTCAGGGCTTTTTAAATGGATAAAGTTTGTAGTAATAGTTCACAACAACATAAAATCAGTTATTTCAGGTCTGAGTTAGTAACTCAAATCTGCTGTGGAATTGGCAGCTTAAGCCTTAGTAGTAATGATGAGAGATCAAGCATTAATATCACTTTCACTTTTTTTCATATTACTTACTAGCTGGCAAAACATCCAAAGAAGGGGTCCCAGATGGTACGTGATAATGATTGGAAAGAGTCAGAGCCATCAGCCAACAATCTCTTTGATGCTGTGAAAGCCGCCAAAAGTGATATGCAGGTAACAGGTATCTCACTCTGTTGCCCTGGGTGGATGCTGTGGCATCATATCTCACAGTCCTGGGCTCAAGCAATCCTCTTGCTTCAGCCTCCCGAGTAGCTGGGACTACAGGTGTGTGCTGCCAGGTCTGGCTAAGTTTTATCTTTTTTTTTTTTTTAAGAGATGAGACTCTTGCTTAGGCTGATTTTGTAATCCTCAGGCAATCCTCCCACCTCAGCCTTCCAGAGTGCTAGGATTACAGGTGTTAGCTATTATGCCTGGCCTCACCTCTGTTTCTTTTAATTTTCTTTCTTTCTTTCTTTCTTTTTTTTTT